AAAATGAGGAGCTGATACCAAGGGCTCAAACAGAAAGCAAATGTTTTGAGAATAATGACGGCAACAAATGTACAAATGTGCTTGACACACAATGGATGGATGTATGGCTTGGGATAAGAGTTGTACAAGCCCCCAATAAAATGTGGTTTGTTTTTTTTTAAAGAAAATGAATGTTTGGAAACTGATTGTGGTAGCTACTGTCCAGTCCTAATGGACATGATTGAACTGTGGAATGATATCACACATGTATTAAATCCCAATGAACAAGAACCAACAAGAAAAGACGTGGCTCCTTAGACGCCCTTCGAGCCTGGAATCGAGTCCACCCTGAGAGGGGGACTACGTTGCAACCAAACAACAGAGAGGCTTAGCAAGTGACCAATCCTCAATCTTTGAAGACAATGGTCAGCCGCGCTCTCAACATTACAAGACGCCAAGGGCAGAATTTGCCCCCCACCTTTACTCCCCAAACCAAGCTCACCATGCGGGAAGGGGTGAGAAAGAAGATTGGATGGGAGCAGGGCACTTGCGACTCGCGTTACGACAGCACACGGGTACACAGCGCTGCATGAAAAAGGGATTTGCTTTGCAAAGGCTCATCCCACCGCCATGAAGTAAACCGATACTTTTTGGCTTCTTATTCTTCTTAAGCCGCTCGATTTCCATTTCCCTCTTGCCAGATAATTGCCTACCAGCCCTATGGGAAGTCCGTGGATTGGTGGTCCTTTGGAGTTCTGCTTTATGAAATGCTGGCGGGACAGGTAAGGGAAAGGGGGTGTGGCCTGAGTCCAGCCTCTGGGAGGTGGGAGTCGTGGGCGGGGCGGGGTCTCGTGAGAGGGCGTGGTCTCAGGCTGGTGGGCTTCCGCTGTGGTTTCCCTTTGCACAGCGCAGGAATTGGACACCTGGGGACAGAGGCCACATGGTATGGTCCCTGTCGAGGGTGGCACAGGTTATAACTCTACCAGGGGTGTCAGGAAGCTCACGGACGGGTTGCTTTTGGTTGTAATTCCATTGGTCCATAACTTTATAATACCATAGTCTAAGGCAGCGGTTCTCAACCTGCGGGTTGCAACCGCTTTGGGGGTGAAATGACCCTTTCACAGGGGTCGGCCCGATTAATAACAGTAGCAAAATGACAGTTATGACGTAGCAACAGAAATAATTTTTTAATCGTTTTATTAGAGGCTCATACGACTCTTTTTTTTTCATACGACTCTTATCACAATCCATACATGCATCAATTATGTAAAGCGCATTTGTACATTCATTGCCCTCATTATTCTCAGAACATTTCCTCTCCACTTAAGCCCCCG